AAACCCCTAGGAATTCAGCACCTGAATTCTCTCTCTTTAAATGAGAAATTCTCCAAAAGCTCTTACCTTATATTTGCTAGAGATTATTAACATGCTCATACACATTTGTGCCTAGTATTTTAAAACTATTTCATAATTCTACTCACTGTGCCAAGAGTTGAAAAGCAAAAAAACCCAAAAGGGATAACTTCCAGAATGTAGAATAGGTTGATGCAGAATAAATAAGCCAGTTTAGCAGTGCATTTTAACTAAACTTCAAAATTAAATAGCATGGAAAGCCAATTATTGTGGAATTATATAAGAAATGTAGTATATCTGAAAATCTCTGCTTGAAAATCTGCATACTGTTGAGGTACAGGACCAGTAAAGAACATTAAAATATCACAGGATCAAGAAGTGAAATCTTACTTCATTTATACAATCTTGCTTAATACATAGAGACGCAGTTTCTAAATTTAAAAGGGCTAATGATGTTATCAAGAAGATGTTTTAAAATGCTTTGTTTTCCCCGAACTTGGCATGGGTGGGTGACTGTATATTTACTTCATATGTGTTATAACATAATTTTACAATCAATATTGTGTTGGTTTACTGGCAGAACCTATAAGACTGTCAGAATATTTTGTAGGCCAAATAAAACTAGGACAAGATGTTGTTTAGGGGTCTCCATTTTATCCTGATAGTCTAGTTCCCTTTTTTGTTCTTTTGCCACTGTTTTTAAGCTATTCTGTTTTCTTTTTGTAAGCCAACCTCAGCCTTTGTTGGGAAGGGTGGCATATGTATCAAATAAATCAAGAATGAAATATTTAATATGGATTATATGCGAATATTAGGAATTAACGTAGGCATAGAAAATTGACATACTATTAAACTAATACCAAACATGTGGCAGGGAAACTTGTGTGATAAATTGCAACTACATGACCTTTGTTCCTCATATACATCCACGTACCTTGGGAAGTATTTACTTTTCAAAGGAAAAATGTTAAAAATAGCAACTTTGGGCACAGGGGGGTTAGATTTCTGGAATAAGTCCCAGGGGAAGAGATTTATGAGTGGATAGGAAATACGTGAGCTAATCAAAATGTCCAGGATAAACAGTCAAATGACAAATTAATTGCATAGGTTAATGCCTGTGTAGATTAAGAAAGTAGATAGCTGCATACACACATGTGCTTACTCAGAGGAGCCTTGCTCTAGATCTGCGTGTTCATTCAAATGTGTATAATGATTATAAAGGCTGTATGTTTACAGGAACTTAAAAACCTGAATTAATAGAATTCAGATTAATATTTTTATATGTATGCATTTGTGTGTGTATGTATGTAATAAATAGTTGATTTATACAACTGTATAGTTACTGTTATTGTATAGATTCTGTGTCTGCAACATGCTTCCAAGTAAGCTCATCTTTGGTGGGTGAAATACTAAAGAGAAGCAAAAGAGATCTGTGGTCACTTTAAAGGAATGGAGACACTGTTGAACCAGCAGCAATGATGCAGTTTGTGAAGTTGTGTAGTTTCAATTTCATTTATTGACTGAAATCCAAGGACAGCTCTGAGGGTGGCACAGTAAACTTAATATACTGCAGTGAAATTTTAACATTTCCCTCTTGAAACCCAGCCACAGAAGGTAGATATACATATGAGTATACTAGTCAGCCATGATACTAATTCTCTTGCTGATAAGAGGATAAAGCCAAATGAAACATTTGAGCTCGGAACTTATTTTGGTTTAATAAATGCTGTAGGGATGATGAACAGAAGTAAAATATCACATTCCCTCTTATCTGCATGGCTGAGTCTGCGGGTAGGAAGGGAATCTAGTGTGGGGAGGGGGCTTGCTTTGGCCAGGTCTAATCTAGCTGTGCAGTTAGGGAGCAAATCAATGATGGCTGTGCGAGATGGCACGTCAGCTTGTTTGAAAGGGCTTTGAACTGTGAGTGGTGACAACTGGAATTGTTTTAGCTCTTCCTGAGCCTGGGGTCAGACCGAGAGGCACCTAGCAAAAAGAGAAAAGATATTTAAAAACAAAAAAAGGAAGCAAAGGACATGGGAAGCAGAGAGTTAGCAGATACATTTTCAAATCCCATCTCAGAAGAACAGAGCTCTCTGAATAGATCACAAGTGACTTGTAGTTGCAGAAGGAGAAGAATCGGTAATACAGTATGTAGTAATTAAATTGCCTTCCTTTTAGTTTGCAGTCCCTCTGTAGTGAAATGAAAGCAGTCCAATTCTGAGTGTACTGGCCTGATGCATTGCATTAAAAGGATGTAAATAAAATATCTGTAAGTTTATGAAGTTTTTGGTGTGATATATGTCATGCCAGTAAGGATGCAGGACCCTCCCTTGACTTCATTTAGTTAGCTAATTTTGCCTCTAAGGAAAAGACAATGAGAAGAGAAAAGCCAGGGCTCTCCTTCAGATGTTTTGTTGATGTTACTTTGGTAATTAGATCTAACTTTCTTCTTTTTTTTTCTTCCCTTTATGCAGTGCCCATG